TTCATAGAATGTTAATAGATTTTACCTGAAAAATATGGTCCCCTTGGTGAATTTAGTTTTGGAAATGCTGTTAAACAGACTTCCTTACCACAGGGCATCCCAGAGTCTTTACTATATTTATTTGCATTGTGACCCTCCAAGAGAGGAATGAAAAACTCAGTGTTTCCAAAACTCATGTGGGAAACTCAGTGTTTTCCACACTGGAAACATTTACTGGGGAGCATCTTGGGAAAGCAGAAGCATGGCTGGCTTTTCACATCATGGGAAGTGGCCTCAGGGCTGAGGTGAGTGGGCATTAGTGGGGAAAGTAACTTATCTGAATGGCTCATATAAATACTGGTGTCTAAAAGACATTCTCCACTAAATTAAACTAGGGCTCCTTGAGAAATACGTAATTCCAGGGCTAGGGAAAAGAAAGTGCTAGATAAGCCTGAAACAACTTTTCAAATCAGAAAGTAAAGAAGTCCTCGCAGAACGGACAGTGACAAGTGAAAAGAATATAGGAGCTTACAGGAAAAAATGAAGGATGGTTTCAGCATCAAAGTAAATTATGTTAATAAAGATTAGCCCATCAAATAAAATAAGGATCTACAAGTACACGCTGGTATAAATAAATAAATGAAATTTTGAAATGGAGAGAAGGAAGAAGTTCTACCTTGTAGTAGAATGCCAATTAACATGTAGAGAAATAACAATAGAATATAAAAATCACCATTTGGCAACCATCATAGTAATAACTGACTAAGGCAAGAATCATCAATGGATCCTAAAATTAGTGGGTAAAAATTTTATGGTGAATAAGATATTTACATAGCCTAAGAATCAGTGGACATCATGTCAGTAAATATTTGTCAAATGATTAAAACACACACATAAACACACATACATATATACATTTTAACAGGGAATGGCAAAGTAGATGGGGTGCAACCTTAACAATGGGGAATCTGGGTGAAATTTGAGTTCTTTTTTCCATTCTTGTAATTTTTTAAATAAATTTGAAATCACTTCACAGTAAAAAGTAAAGTACGCTGTAGGAAAAGTCCCTTCTCTTACACTGCTTTGATAATGACAGTTTGAGCTGCTCAATTCAATCAATTAATTAGTGTTCTACCCACTTTACTCTTCACAGAAGCCTTTACCACTGACCAGAGGAATGGATGACCCCTCCCTTGGTTCCCAGGACTGAGTGCTCCTTCCTTGGATGGCTTCTGCTGGGGATGTTTTTTTTCCTCCAGTTGAAGAATCACTATGTAGTGATGTTGCTATACCTCTCAACCACTTTTTCACTCACAGGCCCCAGAGAAAGCACAAGCCATACTATTGACTTCAGGCCCACTTAACTCAAGGGTAAGTTTCTTTTAAAATGTTCTGACTCGCCTTTCCCAGTAATTCACAGGCACAGAGCTTGTGATTTTACTACACTTTGCAGGTTCCATGGTTTTTGCATCTTATTAAAAGGTGATTGCTTTTCTCTTCTTCAAATTCTTTCAACGCTTCTAAATACAAAACTTTAAAGTCACCAAATGGTTTCCTCAAATCCTCCATATCGTCTAGCATAATGCAGGGCATATATTAGGTGCTAAGTAGGAATTTCTTGACTTACTGACTGGAACATATTTACCTGTTCCTGTACGACTAGAAAACATTTCACTATATAGGCATATGCCAAGAAATGCTACAATAAATATTTCAGCTAAATTAACATTTTTCTCAATTACTTTCATTATACAACCAAAGATACAATAATAAAAATCACAGATAAAATTAAGAAACACTTAAAAAGAAAGAAATATTTTGCTAGACTCTATCAGTGGTATTCCAAATTTTAAACCTCAAGCATTTTGGAATAACATATCATGTACTGTAAAGGAACCAGTGACAGATACCGTATTTAAAGCCAGAAAGATGTTCTACGATTCAAACCATTTCATCTGACTCCACTATAATCTAGTGCTTCCATACAGAAATCTCAAGGCTTTTAAGATTTTAATTACCATCTATTTTTGAAAATAAACTTAAGGTCCAATGATAGTGCTTAAGATCTCAATCTCTGGAGTCCAACATACAATAAGACCACTTACTGAGGAACCTCAGGCAAATACCTTTATCAAGCCTCAGTCTCCTCATCTGTAAAATAGAATATTAATGGTACCTAAAACAAAGAGTTGCTATCACGCAGAAATACAATGGTATTTGTAAGGTAGGTGGCATATGTTAAGCACTCAACAAATACTCAGTATTATTATTATTATTGTTATTACTGCCATGATTAAATAAAAATAAAAAATTAAAAAACCAGGATCCCAAAGTGCATACATAGAATGATTCAATTTCACTAAAAGGGCAAAGCACATATAAACATATATATACATGTATTTATATGTACATACTTAAGGTATTTATACATATGTTTTTATATATATTCATGTGTTGTTTAACAATGGGGATACTTTCCAAGAAATGCATTGTTAGGCAATTTCATTATTGTGTCAACATCACAGAGTGCACTTCCACAAACCTAGATGGAATAGCCTACTACACACCTAGGCTATATGGTATAGCTTATTGCTCACAGGCTACACACCTGTATAGCATGTTACTGTACTATAGGAAATTGTAACACAATGGTAAGTATTTACAAATTTAAACTTATTAAACATAGAAAAGGTAAAGTAAAAATAGAACATAAAAGATTAAAAATGGTACACCTATATAGGGCATTTGCCATGAAAGGAGTTTGCAGGATGGAAGTTGCTCTGGGTGAGTCAGTGAGTAAGTGGTGAGTGAATGTGAAGGCCTAGGATATTACTGTACACTACTGTACACTTCATTAACATTGTATACTTACGCTACACTAAATTCATAAAAAAATTTTTTCTTCCATAATAAATTAAAATTTTAATTTTTAAAAAACCCTTTGACTCTTTTGTAATAATATTTGACTTAAAACACAAACATACTGTACAGTCATACAAAACTATTTTCTTTATTTATATCCTTATTCCATAAGTTTTTTTGTTTTGTTTTGTTTTTTGTTTTTGAGACAAAGTCTCGCTCTTGTCCCCCAGGCTGGAGTGCAATGGTGTGATCTTGGCTCACCACAACCTCCGCCTCCCAGGTTCAAGCAATTCTGCCTCAGTCCCCCGAGTGGCTGGGATTACAGGTGCCTGCCACCACACCCGGGTAATTTTTGTATTTTTAGTAGAGATGGGGTTTCACCATGTTGGCCAGGCTGGTCTCGAACTCCTGACCTCAGGTGTTCCGTTCCGCCTCTGCCTCCCAAAGTGCTGAGATTATAGGCGTGAGCCCCCACACCCAGCCCAGAAGCTTTTTTTCTACTTATTTTATTTTTTTTAAGATAGAGTCTTGCCTTGTTGCCCAGGCTGGAATGCAGTGGTGAGATCTCGGCTCACTGCAACCTCCGCCTCCTAGGTTCAAGCGATTCTCCTGCCTCAGCCTCCCGAGTAGCTGGGATTATAGGCATGTACCACCACGCCCAGTTAATTTTTGTATTTTTAGTAGAGACAGGATTTCACCATGTTGGTTAGGCTGGTCTCGAACTCCTGACCTCGTGATCCACCCACCTTGGCCTCCCAAAGTGCTAGGATTATAGGCATGAGCCACTGTGCCTGGCTCTCTACTTAAATTTTCTTTTTTACTTTGTAAGTTTTCTTGTTGAAAATAAAGACATAAACATACACATTCGCCTAGGCCTGCACAGTGTCAGGTTCACCCATATCACTGCCTTACACCCCCACATCTTGTCCCATTGGGAGATATTCAGGGGAACAACATGCATGAAGCCGTCATCTCCTATGATAACAATACCTTCTTCTGGAATACTTCCTGAAAGCCTGCCTGAGGCTGTTTTAGAGTTAACTTTTTGTTAATAAGTAGAATGAGTACACTCTAAGTGATTAAAAGTATATGGTATTATATGTATATAGAGAAAATATATTTTATATATATATATAAAAACACATCCCAGTAACAGTTGCTTATATTAGCAAGTATTATGTACTGTACATAATTGAATATGCTATACTTTTATACAACTGGCAGCACAGCAGGTTTGTTTACACCTGCATTACCACAAATACATGAGTAGTGCATTACACTAGGACATTACAACAGCTATGACATCACCAGGGAGTAAGAATTTTTCAGCTCCATTATAATCTTATGGGACCACCATTGTATATGCAGTCCACTGCTAATCAAAATATCACTCTGTGGCACATGGCTATATTTTACATTAATATTTACACAAATATATGTGATATGTGTGTGTGTGTATGTATCTATATCTATACTGAGAGAGAGAAAGCACATGAGACTGCAAGGAACCATGAAAGAGATTCATAGAAAAAAGATTTGAAAAAAAAAAAAATGCACCACCAGAGGGGTCATCTAATGATCAATGAATAACAACTCATTTTTATTCTTACACTTCACTGTATTTTTCAGATTTCTTCTATGAACAGATATTACCTTTGCAAATATAACCATAAATATGCTATTTAAAAAAGAAAAAAAAACCTTTCACAAGGATGAACCATATTTGTTTACAGTGTTATGTCCACAAAAATTTTGTTCACATTATTTACGATACGGATGGTCCTCAACTTACCATAGTTCAACTTACAATTTCTTGAGGTTATGATGGGTTTACTGGGAAGTAACCCATCATAAGTCAGAGAGCTCTGTATGACTTCTATGATGGGTTACAGTTTCTGTTGAGCTTTCACGCCATCATAAAGTCGAAAAATCTTAAGTCAAACCATAGAAGTAGGGAACCATCTGCTATGTCACTGGCATTAAATTCGTTTTTGACTTAGGATATTTTTTATTTACCATGAGTTTAGAGAGATATAACTCCACTGTAAGTCAAGGGGCATCTGTAATTAGGAAAATACCATTTTCACTGCTTTACATAGCCTGCTTGCTTCTTTTCATCAGAGAATAACTATGAAGAAAAAAATAAGTGACATGATTACCCTCTGCAATTTCCACTCGGGTTGCTCACTGGTTCCATCATGTCCTATCCTTATCTTATATATGTTTCCAATGCTTCTTATTTCAACCTAAATGAAATGCAAAGAAGAAAAAAATTATCAGAATGTTTTAAATTAAGCACATTTAAAAATTCTTTCTCTTTACACTAAATGCATTTTTTGTTCCTAATAGTTAAAAAGCTCTCAGGAATTCTTTCAGAGTCTAGAAAAGAAGTGCCCTCAAGAAACAATCAGTGAACTTCACAGACACAGAGTATGAGACAGAAATATCATGAGACTTGACTAAAAATATGCAGAAGGAGTCAAATGAGAGAACAGGATGAAGAACACACATATGCTCAGTTCTCCGACTACCACACATTTCTCACTGGAAGCCAACACTTTCTGAGTTCCAATGACAGAAAGATGGGTTCGTATTTTAAGAAATAAAAAAAAAAAAAAAAACAATTTTCACCAAAGAAAAGCTAAATATGGTGATTTCTACAAGCTTAAGCAAAGTGTGAGTCTAGAACTTCCTTGTACTCTGAAAATCCTGTCGTCTTTGATGATACCTAGGTTAAGATATAGATGTTCTACGTTCAAGGAAGAGAAGCAAACCTGCCCACAGAATATGGGTGCTGCTTTAGTTTTTGATGAGGACCAAGAGTATTTGTTAATCCAGGTAGCATTGTAGAGAACTGGCTTTGGAATTGCTTGGAGCTCAACTGGGAGCCTGACTGTTGTAAACTGAGTAAAATATGTTTTTTTACTTCTCTTATCTTCAATTTCTTTATCTGTAAGAATGGTCACATAATGCTTATGGCATAAAATTTTCAGTTCAACTAAATAAATATATATTGAAACAATAAACAATATGCAAGTCCACAGGTATGCAAAGATGAAAATGACGGCACTGTCTCTAACTTGGAGAAATATACAGCCTAGCAAGGGAGACAGACTTATAAGCAGATATTTTTAGTATAATAAAATATGTCCAGGTCACTGAACTGTGAGAATTTTTTTTAAATGTAATACACCACCTTATTACTTAGATGGCTTACCTAACAGCCACTGTCATTATTTCTGCTATAGGTGCCAATCTACCTCTGCAGACTAGAGATATAAATAGGTAGGCACTTGCATATTATATCTGACTAGACATTGCCTACCTATGGACTAGACCCTGAAAGAGCTGGGACAGTCAAATCACCCAAAAACTATCAGAACTCCTTCTTCATACCCAGTTCCCATGCTTACAATTCTTTTTTTTTAAGTGCCCACCACCACTTTCCCCTACAGACTGCAGCAGCTAGAACAGAACTGGGCCTGTTTCAATACCAGGTCAAGAGAAATTATGCTGGTGTCAACTGGGAAGAAGGAAAATAGGGATGCTAATCCCCAACAGCCAATTTCCCCCACTTCCTTATTCCCAGAGCTGGTTTCAGTGGCAGAACTCAGAGGCTAGCTCTTCCTCCCAGAGAAAGCAAGAAGTTATCCTCCAGTTTGAGGCTACTTTGTCTCTAAAAGGTAAATCACACTTTAAATATCCTTTCATTGTCCCAAGAATCTATTAGCACTTAAGTGTAAACTTCCTTTCTGCACAATTTAAGTGAAAATAATAAAGGGATATCTGAACAGTCTGGTTACCAAGCATATGTGACTTGAAACCTATGTGCCTGTCACTGCAGAAGAGCAGAACTAACTGCTACTCAGCTCTGTACCAGCCAGGCGGGAAAGACTTGATATTCTTGTCCCTGACAATTCACACAGTCACCCTGTGAAGGGTAAGGCTCTTTTAAGCATCTACTTTAAAAGATGAATAAACTCAAATAGGTTAAGTCATTTGTCTAAGGATACACAGCTGGATACACAGAAAGTTCCAAAAGTAAAATTTGAACCCAGGTTTAATAAAATATCCCACATTGTCCTCAAAAATGGCTATATGCTCACTTCAGGACTGGAAAGAAGGAAAAGAGAATGAAAGACAAACTTAAAACTGGCAAATGATGCCAATTAAAAGGAACAAGAGAATCAATACTCACAGAGGAGAGAGAGTAGAAATGTGTCAATTCATCCTAATTTAAGATTCTCAAACTATCACAAGGCCCCAGTCCCAGAGCCCATTAACCCCTAGGCCAGTGTTTCTCAAACTTTAGTGCACACACAAATTACATGGGGATCCGGTTAAAACGCAGATTCTGATCCAGTAGGTCTGGGATGGGAACCAAAATTCTGTGTGTCTCACAAGCTCCCAGGCAATGCCCATCCTGCTGGCCTGGAGTCCACAAGACTCTACGCTCCTGGGAGCTTCCACATGTAGCCCCAATCTCCACCACTGAGGTAATAATCTAGAGCTATTCACTCTTCACAGTAAATGACAGAGGCGGGTAGAAAACATATCCTGAGCCATTTACCAGCAGAGCGAGAGTCCTTAGTGCCTGCAATCTGTCACCTGTAGAGCACTTCCCATCTACCGGGTACAGCGCACGACACACACCTTCCCAGGCATTCTTTAAATTTCACAGCAAGGTTTTTAAGTATTATTACCTACCTTGTACTAAGTAGGAAACTGAGGATTAGAAAGGATAATCAGTCTATTTAAGGTCACAAAACTAGTGAAAGGGTGATTTGAACCTGGTCTCTGACTCCAAGGCTTCTGTTCTTAACCAGTTTATGAGTTTTACTATATGTCAATAGGATTCCTTTTTTAATTTATACACATTTTCTCTTTTTGTCATCACACTACCTTAAAATTTAGAAAGAAAAGATATTATTGCCTGTATTCTATACATAAAGATAATGCTGGCCTGGAGAAATAAAGTAGCATATTCAAGGTCACATAACTAACGTGGGAAGCAAGGACTCTAATCTAACTTACCTGATTTGCAGTCTAGTGCTATATCCAGCATTCTCAACCTTGGTTGCACTTTAGAATCAGTTGGGGAACATCTGAAAACCTCAATACCCAGACTGCACCTCAGGCAAATTAAACTAGAATTTCTGGAGGTGGAATCAGGCATCAGTAGTTTTTAAAGCTCCCTGGGTAATTCTAATGTGCATCAAGACTGAGAATCTATACCATTCATTCCAAGATTTGACCATAAGTAAATTTTTCAGAAAAACATTGATAGGATTTATCAGCATATAAATACATATACCACAAGGTATATTACGGGAAAATTAGACTTTTGTGGGGTGACTTAGGGATCTAACCATACACACACATTCTGAATTCTAAACAATTATCTTCAAATAATCTTTTGAAACATGTATTTATATAAGGTATGGCTGCCTATGCAAGGAGCCAAAGTGCTCTTCCACAACTGCAGACAATTGCTTTTCTTCAATGAAAATTAACTTTAATGATTACAAAAGTAGAATGACAGGCTTAGGTCTGAAAATCTAGAAACCATTTGGGTATTAGTGATTGCCAGGTACCGTAGCCCCAAATAGCCTTGGGTTCCTGGCAACACGAGTTGTCCTCAATCATTCTCTATTCTCTAGTCAGCCTTAGGATGCAAAAGGAATACCCTCCAGAGAAAATGACTGCTGTTTAACAGTGCACCAAAGAGCTTTCGCAGGCAGTGGGGATGGAAGGGTGGATTAGTGAAGTGGAATGTAATTGTCCTAATTGAAACTTGGCCAAAGCTCTGAGGAACTAGGAGAGGCAACCAGCCACATGCAAACTTAAGCAGCCCAGTGTTCTCTGACTCTAAGAAGTAAAAGAGAGAGAAATTAGAATGGGCATGGGCAGAGCTTCAAAACATGGCCTGTGAAGATGCCAAGGAAATTATTTCATTCTTAAGACTTTTTTAATTAAAAAGATGAAACAAATTTTATAAAAAGAAAATAATTTCACACCTGTATAGCTCAGCTGAGCAACATCTATAAGTATATGCAAGTATATAAAAGAAGAGTTTTCATTACCAGAAGAATCTCTATACAGCATATAAGTTGGTTATAAATTGAGTTGAAGTTGGTAGTTTATAGGGCCAGTTCCAAACCCATGGTTTGAAAGTATACTAAAATAAACTGTCTTTAAAGAAAGCAGTTTTTTCTACAACTTTCCTTGCTCAAATAAGATATGTGAGCAAAAATATTTCCTTTGATTGTTACAATAAGCATTATTAACTTACAGGCATTCTAAAAGACCAGAGATCCATTTTAATAGGAGACACACACACACACACTTCTACATTACAGAAATGTCTTTGAAATGTTCACAGGAAAATATCACAGTGTTGTTTACCTGAAACTCATCCTCCTGTCCTGGAAGGAAGAGCTGCTCTGAGCTGTCCTTGCGAAGACTTATTGGCCCAGTGACTCCTTTATCTCCATACACCCAGAGAGTGACATTGGCTTGAGTTCCTGTATTTCCCGTCAGCACTAACACCTTCCATTCATCTTCTGACAGAAGAGTCTTACCACTTTGGAAACGTCTGATTTCTTCTATGGGGGAATAAAGCATTAGTGGCAGATCAGATACAACATCAGGCTGACAGAATCCTTTGTCACATTGGAGCCAAAGGACATGAAAACTGGGCAGGGTAGGGTGAAGCAAGCAGGAGGCACTGCACTGTGAGGACTCCAGGGAGCTGATTTGTGCTTGTCTCCTCACAGCAAGGTTCTGGTCAACTGACACTCAACCACCGAAGTAAACTGGATTCGAACAGTAAACATCTGACCTACCTGGCAATCTTTCACTTACCCAGGAGGGCAAACTGGAGTTTCTGTCCTATGTCCACAGATTTTTCATAAAGCTGCCTGCTTGACTTACATATTTTATATAGAACTACCACCACATAAAGTAATAAAAAGGGGGAATTAAAACTTGTTTTCACATACGATAAGTAAGTGACAAATTGAGGGCAGAGAAAAATTTTCTGAAATATTTCCAAAAAAATAAAAAAATACCTTCCTGGAGTGGGCAATGGAAAGGATTTGGAACTAAAGAGAATTTTCACACATACTAATTGTTCCTGACGTGCTCAGAGCAGTTGTCCACGAGAGCAGGGCTGCACAGCACTTGTGTTTCACAATGCATTCTCTAGCAACCAGCAGTGCCCAAACACAGCCACTCCTGTTTGTAAAGAATGCCATGACGTCCCTAGCTAGAATGGCTGTCTTCTTCACACTCCCTTTCACCTGTGGTCTCATCTGAGGAGATACTGGGCCAGGCAGTGCTGAGGGCATCTCCCATGCTACTCTGCACTGGTTGTCTGAAAGTACCCCAACAACTGCACTTTAATTCTTCACTGATATTTCCACTTTGAAATCTTATACACCCAAGATGATAAGGTAAAAGTTCTTCATGTCAAATGGTTAAAAGGTAGCCAGAGCTGATCTCCTTCCTTTAATTCTGTAGTTTGAAACTATACGCAGCCCTAGGCAGCACTTAGGATCTTACCGACAATGATGAAAAGCCCAACAAATATGAAATTATTCCTGCTAAGCTATAAAGAACTAATTTTAAAATAAAAACCATGCAAAAATATACAAATAAAAACAAATGCTATGAAAGAACTGATATTCATTTTTTAAAGTTTTCTCTAGAATGTGCTGGGTAATCTCTGTCAGTATAACAGCTCTGGGTAATCTCTGTCTCTGGGAGTGACTGAACAATTTAATTGTTTTTAAGCTCCTAATATATGCAGGGTTCTGCGTTGCACCTTTTATATGCATTTCTCATTCAATCCTCATTCCAAACTCATAAGGTGAGTCAAATTATGATGTCCATTTTAAGAAGAGGAAAAGAAGCAGGGAAATTAAATAATATGGCCGAGTCACATAATAAGCAAACTATGGGATGTTTAACTGTAAAGCACCTGCACTTAAACAAGCTTGATAAGCATTCTGTATTCACCTAAACATAATTCACCAGGATGCAGCAGTGCTGCTAGCATGTGAGGTTTTCTTCTGCGCTGCACACTATCCTAAGCACTTAACATTCATCATCAAGTCACTCTCACTCAACCCTCATACTACTCCTATGAGGTGCTGTCCCCTATTAAGCAGATGGACAAACCAGGACTCAGAAGTGAAGTGACTTGCCCAGAATTACACAGGAAGTAACAAGGAACCGAACTTCAAACCCAGGCAGAGCAAGTGTGAATTCCACGTCATTTACATCAGAAATAGCTGACCTGGAAATGATCACAAAAATTGGTCCAACAAAATTTTATGACATGATCTAATTTTTAAAACTCAATGTTATATGTGAACATTTGGCCACTGTGCCTGACATTTCTAGTCAAATACACTTGGAATTTCCTCAGGCCCAGGCAACTGCACTACCAGATCTCTACTGACAAAGACTCCACAGCACATCCATGAGTTCCAGAGAGAAACTGGTGATCCTAGGTCAATGGTGAACATTACAGGATGTCGATCATTCACTCACTTACTATCTTACGGATATCTTAGTCATCTAAAAGAATCACTTTTACACAATTCGAGAAGACTTTAGTTCCTATTAATTGCTGGGCATTGTGTTAGGCTCACTGCTCTCATAATAACAGAACTGATGAAAAGTTTGAAAGATAAACAATGACAGTCACACCCTGGAGATACATGCTATCCAGCGGTGAAAACAGACATACAAATATCTGGATTTCAAACACTCAAATACCTTCATGGAAAACCAACAAACAAAAAAAACTACTGAAAAGTTCCGGTGTAGCAGAGGGCAGGAAGTGAGTAATTAAGGAGTGGGCAGAAAAGGCTGCACAGAGGAAACCTCAGTGCTGGATGTAGGAAGATGGCTCAGAATTTTGCAGAAAGACAGGAAGAGCATTCTAAACAGAGGGGACAGCATTCCCAGCATGTACGTGGCTTGAAGCAGCAGGCATGCTGGAAGAACTGCAGGTGCCAATGTTCAGTTGAACATAAGATACTATATGTGAAGAGGAGAGACAGAAATGTGAGGATCATGGAAGGCACTGGTCAAGCTGGAAGGGAGTTGGCACATCCTTTTGCAAGCAAGAGAGAACCAGTCACAATTTTAAAGTATGGTGGTGGTATGAGCTAAGTATTAGAAAGATAGGTCTGAAACAGGGTGAACTATAGCAGGGACAGACTGAGGTAGGAAGGCCAGTGAACAAACAATAGACACAAGACAGTGAACAAACATACAAAGAAACAAACTCTGAAATGAAATCAAGAGACCACGGTTATTTAGTCTGAATTTTTTCCATGTCTGTGCATGGATGAACACAAATCTATGTGTGCATGTGTTTAGCTTGTTTGTTTGATTTAATCTGCAAATGAGTTGATGTTTTCTAAGGTCCCTTATTCCTGCATTAACATGTTCTTGCATCACTTGCACAAAAATAACACATTGTCAGGGTACACTCATATTATGAAAATTGATGGCTAAATATGATATAATCTATAATACAGAATGATGTATTAAAGTTTGTACTGTTATCAATTAAATATGAATACCATGTAATACTACGATCTTTTGGAAATGAACCAACGTCCATTAGTCTCAGACTATAAATTTCTGCTGAGAACTGAGAACCATAAAAGCAGTTGCTTTTGTTGACCAGAAGTTTAAAATACTCTAAGCTAGGAAAATATTTAATGGGGACCCTGGATTAGTCAATAGACTTCTTCACGGTCACCCTGAATAAAATCAATGGTACCTAAGATGTATTCATACGACTCAAAAACATCCTCTGTGAGGGTGACTGAACAATTTAATTAAACACCAATCAGGTTGACTCAAACCAAAAAAAAAAAAAAAGTTATCTACTTTGTGCTGCTGCTAGTCCACTGAAGCTCTAGCGGAAAAAATAAATTACTCATAGAAATAAATAACAAATTAGCTGATTCTAATAGTTCATGGGTTGATTAAAGTTGAGGTCAGCATAAGCATGAATTACCATCAGAGTGTGGCCATAAAGGGACAGCTTGTATAGCCTCTGTATGCTATTCCAAGATAGTATTTGAGAAAGTTGATTTATTCTAACATGTCATTGAAAACAACTGAAAACAAATGCTTCCTAATACCTGATAGTGTAATATCAGATATTTAAACCCTAATTTCAGAACATATAAATCCGAAAAAAAATAAGACAGTGAAAGCATTCCCCTATAGTTATCTTGCAATGGATGAAATCTATTTCTACAAAATTAACATAGTCTTGTTATATTCATAAATTTCAGTTTCTCAACTAAGGGATACAAAGCACAGGATGCACAAAGCTGGTACGGATAACTAACATAGAAAACAGAATCAAATAATCAAAGGCATCCTAACATGCTTGCACACTGGATTAACACCAAGAAGATAAAAACTAACCAGTATCAAGGTAAAGGTCTGTGGCTTGGTTCAAAGATCAGTTATATGTTTTACACTGAAAGGATAGTATGAATAAAATATCCTAATAATGTTAATATAAACCAGAAATGCAATAAAAATGCCCAAAACATGTATTCCAAGCTGAGACTGTATCAACTGATGTATAAGGTCCCATAAAAGGAATACCATTATTCTAAACTGTTCAGATTATATGAGAAGACAGGTTCCTACTTGGAGATTCACACTTTAAGAGAAATATTCATAAAGGTGAAGAGTCTAAAACCATACATAAAAAGAAACTATTACAGCAATACATTTGACACAGATGAGAATATACTAAAAAGAAATACTGAGAATCCACTTTTTGGTATATTTATATACATATAAGATGAATATACTAAGAGGAAATGAGAATATACTAAGAAAAAACAATGGTTGTTTTATAGAAGAAGATAGTGACTTTTTTATAAGCCAAAAGAATTTATGGGTAGCTTTTCTGCTCAACATAAGGAGGTACTTTCAAGTGATTAGGATGATTTGAAATGGAATGGTTTATTTCTGCACTTTTCCTATGAATCTCTATGTTGCTTATGATGTGTCAAAGGTCTCTTCAAATCCTCAATCTATGATGAACGAAAACTTACACTACCTTTACAATATAATTTACGACACCACGAGCATTAAAAAAATAAAACTATATTTCACTCTGGATGCCAAGTGCTGTTTTTTATATTAAAAGGGACATAAAAATTACGATGAGAATAACCATTAATATAATTAATATAACTACTTTGTAATTCCATTTATGGGAATTATTCTAATGAAATAACATATAGATGAGCATCCATTACAAATTATAATAAAATAGGTAAATATGTTATGCTACATCAACACAATGGATTATTTATAGCTATTACATTTTATTAAAAATATTTATTATGAAAAATCCTTAAATGATTAATACCTTCTATTAACTGAGAAGGTTATAAAATGATATATTTAATATAATCTACAAGTGTGTATACATACATATATACACAAGTATAAATACATTTTTAAGTGATCTTTGGGGAAGTAGCAAGATGATATAATTTTAAGATTTTCCTGTATGCTTTACGTATTCTAATTTCTTTCAGAATGAAATTATTTTTAGTCAAAGATGACTACCCAAGATTTTTCAGAATAAATTTACTGACTACTGTTTTTAAGGAAGACTTCAACTAATAGATTTTTTTCTGCCCAGGTTTGTTTTTAAAGTATTGGCACCTAAACACATTTAAGAAAGAAAATGCCATGGCTGATACTTTGACCCAGATTAGGATTTGCCTGGCAACACTGTGGAGCATGCCACCACAAACAGATGATGGACTGGCAGGATGGCTGCACTGCACTGTTCAAGTGTCCATGCACAGAGACAAGTGACTGGAGCTGAGACTTGCATAACATTCATCTTCCTGGGTCTTGATTTTCTCATTCATAGAAATAGGTAGTTGCTGGAAAGATATCTAAGGGCAATTTCAGTTCAGAGCATCAAATCATAAGTCTTCTCTTTTTATATTCGGTTTGAATGTGTTTAAATGCAGTGTTTCCAAACTTAAAATTATGCAGAAGTAATGTATATTCTCACTTAATTTTTAAAATATGAATTTCCAAAGTATGAATAATATGGTGTCTTAGATTTGCTTTAATATAATTAAATGAGGACATTGTAGGGCATAGCAGGAAGGGCCATAACTAAAACAGGACTATACCTATGTTGATCATTATTGAAGCTGAGTGATGGGTACATGGGGGTTCATTTGTCCATTCTCTCTACCTTTGTATGTGTTTAAAATTTTCCATAATAAAAAGGTTATTCTAAAAAAAATAAGATTCCTTCCTCAACCCCCCCCCCAACCCTAACAAAATTAATATCATAATGCAGTTTAGACCTAAAGGAAAGCCTTGCAAATTTAATGACACTATCTCTCTACTTAACTACTATAAAATAACTATTTATCATATATGTGCTATTTTAAGTTCTAAATTCTCTTGCCCCTTTGATGTAGATGAGAAAAGTTCCATCTTTCTCCTTAATAAATAAGCATTTTGAATGGAGAGAGAACCATTTTATTTTTTCTATAATTCCTCATTTCCAAAACTATACATCTTGCCCTATCCCAAAAGTGGATGGACAAATATAGTCTCATTCTTAAGGAACTGAAATTTGGTTTTAGATATCTATAAAAGTAGAAAATAAGTTTTCTAAAGTATTTTTCAACGAACATATTTTAATATGAATGGCTAATGTAACCCAAATCTATCTTGACAGCTAAGCTGCAAAACCAAGAGGAAGGTATTTCTTTCAAGAGGCAACTTTTAACTATTGCAGGCCTTTGATAGAGGTAGAAAAAAGACAACTAAAGGGAATCATGATCTAATTACTCAGTAACAGATGAGAGAGAGCCTTCTAGGGAAATATTCATCCATGAAGACATTTTTTCCTCACTTAGTCATGGATGCTATAAAACCACTCTGACTACAAACAGAGAAGGCAAAATTTAACCATATCATGGGCATTTTATAGGTGGCATTTGCCTTACAGGAGCCTCATCATCTGGACTTCCCAGATTTCATATCCAAGGCCAAAATCTGTGACAGATCAATGTTTTAAAAAGTTCTTGAAGAAACTGAGCTTAGTCTCCATTTTCTCAGTCTTTGGCCCACTCTCCATTTCCACTGTATTGCCATTAACCAAATGAAGAAACTTATAGGTCTTTTTACAATTAATTAATGATTTAAATTTTATTTTGTGTCTCATATGCCCTGGGTATTTCCTTCATCTCAATTATCAGGTTTTAGCCTTCCATTTCTGTGTGATTGTTTAATGTTTATCTGAACAGCTCACCTATGAAATTCAAGAGGGCAGAGACCAAGTCTGTTTTAGCTACAACATCTGACATTTAATGGGCACACAATTCATATTTAATGTTTAATTAAATGAAATAATTATTTGAAAAGGTCTAGGTTTATCATGAAGCCTAATTTTGTCATTTTTACAAATTACTTGGCCTGCCTCAATAAAAAAAAAAAAAAATTCTTAAAAATTTCACAATGGTAACATTTTTAAAATATTTTTGTCAGAACAAATTTTCATAAGACATACAGAAGGTTTTCTCATAAGCATTTTGCCATTCATTTAAAAAGTATTTATCCCCCAGGGATTTCGGCTAGCATGCTATTTTCAACCAAGTCAAATTTTACTTGAGGTGGCCATCCCTGATTTAGATACCATTACTTCCTGACAGAAGACTGAATTCTGCTGTGAGAAATTTTAACTAAGCACATATTTCTCATTCAGTGTGATTCTTCACACTGCTCCATGGATTCATGACATGACATGGAAATAAAAAACTGAGACTAGTCCTTTGCAGCAAAAATCAAAAGGCTAATTTCTCTTCCCTATGTTCATGTGCTAATAGCTTAGGATAGTCAACAAGAGACGTCTATTATATTACTATCTGAAAGAAAAGCTAGCATACCCAATAACTAATTTTTAAAAATCACTTTTTTAAAGGTAACATTATAAGTTATCTGTCTCCCAAGACGGGTTTTAAAAAAATGGTCCCCCAGAGACGGTCCTCTATTTCATTTTACCCAAAGATGACTAGATTCTGATACACAGAATTTGTCAGATATCATACATTACACTTTCCTGCCAGATAAAAGTTAATACATTTAAGAGCAAGAAAAATGATCAAACTAATATAGAAGCTAGGAATTTAAGCCTCTGGGACCGAGAGCACTTTCTTTCAAGCTTCACTTTCTATACCAGAGAAATAGAGATTATTTTTGTCGTTGCTTAGACTTTGGTGAGAATTTACCATTTTTCATAAAATATATTCATAAAATATTGTGTAGGTAATAGTTCAATTGATGTTATAATTTAATACTATCTTCTTTTCAACACATTGTTCTGGATGAACATTAAATTTAAGACAAAGAAACACATTTTAAAATATATGTATTCTTTATAATATAAAATTAAGGCATAAAAAAGCAAGATAAGAGCCTACAAGCAGTCCATGTGGTATAACATGATATAGGCTATAAAATAATTTAATAGTCTTCCTGCGATGGCCACAGGAAGAAATAATGCAGTCAAACAAACCAAAAGCAGGAAAGCAAAAGCTGTGGCTTACTTGCAGTTGAAGAAGGTAAGGGACTCCTATCCTCAGATTCTGGGGGTATTTTTTTCTGTTTTTTTGACTCATGGATCTTTTCTTCTTCTTGGCTGGGTGTTGCAGACATTCCCATTGGGTTTTCTCTGCCAACTGAAATTAAGATTTTAAAAGATGCCATCCTTTCAAAATCACTTGCTGCTTCTCAGAATACTCACCATATGTTCAGCTATGCAAGTTTAAGTTTTGCCATTGTTTCCATTTCAATGCCTAGTCAAATCTCTTTACTCAGAATTACGTAGTTAACAGAAAATGACTTCTTATTCTTACCAGCAGGCTGTGCATAGATGGCATCCCTATAAAACCTACTCATTGCTTTGCAAATCTGAACGATAGTTTAACATCACAATATGAATCAAACAACTTATTCAAAATGTTTTTCTTATAGATTCTAAATGGGAACTTCCTTAACAATCTTTTACTTTGCCTTCCTCAAAAGGGGAAACTAAAACGTCATTCAAACAAGATTTCATGTTACCTTACTGAAATATGTGAATCAACAAAATATACACATATCTATAAGCAATGAAAACATTAGCTACTTTTCTACCTTTTACTTAGAAGCAAGTTGCCTTGGAGTCTTGTTTAAGAATAGGTATCTCTAAGTTAAATAATGACTTCAGCTTTATAGTATATGCTCCTAAGTGCTATTTATATTTAGGATTTCAAATTCAAGTTGTTTGTGTTCATTTTCTAGGATCAGGCATAGGCATATTGTTTTTAAATGGTGGTAATTCACACTATGAATGGCTTTAGGTTCTCATCAGCAACAAAAAATTATGTAAATTTCTGATTCTATATGATAAAGAGTAATAGCAACTACTTCTTAATACCACAATTGCAGTCAACGATGTAAGATGACTCACAAAGTAAGAAAGCATAACAACCTCAAAGGTATGCTTAGTAGAAATTAGCAACACTTATCACACAGGGTGATGGTGCAGACTCTACAATACTGGTGGCTGAAGAACTGTCCATGATTACACTGTTATTTATATCCTTCAGGTGTTATAAGATATCATTTCAGACAACAATAAGCTTTTAAATACTAATCCTTATAAAACATAGTTTTTCCATGTGGTTTATATACAATGCAACGCTGAGACACTAAAAGTTGATAATAAAGGAATTTTAAAACATTAAAAAGAAGATAGAAATAACTAGAAATATGTTCATGGAGAATAAATAAGTAATTGTAGAGGAAAAAAATTAAGATTCTTATATATAGCTAAGAGTTCATTTACCAATGTAATGTAGAAATCCAGAATCTACAAAAAGATAAACTATCTTCCAGTCACTGCATAGCACTAGGAACAAATCAATGTATAAGAAATGGCTTCTGATATTGATGGGGTTACAGCCCAGAGAGAGAATACATAAACATGACCTCTGATAGATACTGATGAGCTCTTTAACTGACACAAGCACAACGTGCATAGGGAGCACAGAGGAGAAAACAATTAATGTGCCAGTCCATTAGAAAAAAGCCCAAAAAGGGTTGCACAACAAGGCCAGTCTATGCAGAACTGTGAAAGGAGAATGAGCATTTTACCTCTCTATCCTTCCCACACTGGCTTCTTATTAATTCTACCTCTGCTTCTCAAAAAGTACACCAATATCTCTTTATACGACACAGTAGTAGGGAATTCAGAAAGTGGAAGACATTTTCTGGAAATGTCATCCAGCACCTTCCTATCCCTCTGTAGAGAAGGCTTCCCACTTTGTCTTCAGGCCAGGCGGGTTACAGAAAGATGTTCAAAAGCCAAGTACCAAAGTGACCCTCCAATAATACAATACTCTGAACTGGAGCAACCCTTAGTAGCTCTTTGTCTGACTTTTACAATTAAAAAAAAAAAGTGAAAACTCTATCACTGGCAATGTAAAACAAAACCTGTGGTGAAGGTGAAAGAACCAGAGCTGTCTAGGTAGAGATGTTATCAAAAGGTATATGTTACCTATACAGCTGGATTTGGATGATTAATGACTCACTTCAGGTAGTACCTCATTATATCCAAAATTTAAGCTATATCAAGATCTACCAGACAATAAAGGCAGTAACTCTACAAAATCAACTAGGAAAAGTCTTTTGTTTTATTGAATACCTTCTATTTTAAAAGTAAAACAAGTGAAAACTTACATAATAGCAATGATTATAGTGTCACATTAGTGCATATATATTTTAAATCCATATAGTCATTTTATCATCTGAAACATATTTTGTCATATTTTTCTAAGACTGTAATGTACATAGTCAGAATTTTATGAATTGGATATATGACAGTATTTCATTTAGATTTTTATGCTTGAATGATCTTAGCAGACTAGAATGAAGCAAAAATGAAATTTCCAAACATATTTTAAGGCAAACTTCCATAAAACTTGAACCTGAAAGAAATTCTTATTGTAATAAAAATGTAACATCTGAACCATATCTTCAGTCCTGCATTTTTGAGGGGTTACTAATAGCCAGAGTCTCATGATCTATATACAGAGGATGGCTCATACCATAAAACTGGGCTGGAATTAGAGCAAGAGGAGGTAAATTTCTGTGCAAAAGTCAAGTCTCTGTTAAAGTACTTCTAAAAACTTGTAGGTTCACTCTTTCTTAAGTATTCTATAAAAGTAATAGTACACTGAAGTTAGCGAAAAGTTACATGTTATATTGATCTACAGTTCTTTAAAACGATACCTAGCAGTGTGGTCTTACTGTATGGAATTATAAATGCAGGTTTATTATCTAGAGGAACAGAATGAAGAAAACTTTCAAATTATCCAAATATCCAGATAATCAATGCAGAATCTTCTCCATAGGCTCAGTATAATAACTAATCACATAAGCCCAAGGGGAAAGATCTTTTCACACTTTCTCCTGTATATACTGTGAATATAAATTCATGAAAATAGAGAATGAAGAGGTTTTACTGCACACGCTAGCAAGAACAGCTAAATGGTAGTGGGATAAATGACTTTTATTATAAATTCCCAATACGCAGTAAATTAAACCAAATCCTTGCCAAACTGTAGATGAAAAAAATCAATCACAGAGAAAGGAAATATGCAAAGTGATTAAAAGAGGTGATGAGACGGAATCTCTTGTCTTTCAGGAATCCATCGATTCTATTTGAGTGATAAAAGAAAATATGCCGTGAAGTGCTCTTCCTCTCTTTAATAATCATAACAGTAAATACTTGAACAGCACTTGCTGAGTACCAGACACTATTCTAATCATCTTACATATGTTAATTCATGTAATTCTCACACCACAACTGAGTGAAGGCACTCTTGGTCCTCATTTGACAGAACAGAGGCAGGTGGTCCAAGAGCTGTGAGAGCATACCACTGGCAAAAGGTGCCCTCCCAGGACCTGCAGTCTGGCTCTCAAAGCCTGTGTGCTGAAATCCTACCCTTGTCCCTCTACCCTGCTATACTTCTGAGCCTCTTGCTGTTTGGTGGGTGGAAACTGTCAATGAGACTGCCCTCGTCCTCGGCTGAGCAGAGCTGTGCCCTCCACGTGATTGTGTGCCACGTCAGACCAGGCAGCTTGTAGACATTTACTTGAGGTGCAGCAGCTTCCAAGGAAGCCAGGACCAGTCATTCAGGTTGCATGCCTGGGGGCAACAGGTGGAGTCTCTTGAGAGTAACCTTATGATTCTCTTCCTACCACAATCTCTTACCCTATCCAAGTCCCCTTATCACTCAGGGTACCTCACAACTTTAACTCTGCTTTCTAGACAACTATGAGGAAAAATTTACACTGAAAAAAAAAGTTTCAGCTTAACGTTTTGGGGGGCTGCTCTATCTCTGTATTAGAATATAAACAATTCAAAATTCCCAAATGTTTTTGGGAGTGAACTTTTTTGGCATAGAGTAGGTTCAATCTATCATATGTAGATAGTCTAGTTAGAAAACATTCTATCGGGAGGCCGAGGCGGGCAGATCACAAGGTCAGGAGATCGAGACCATCCTGGCTAACATGGTGAAACCCCGTCTCTACTAAAAATACAAAAACTTAGTCGGGCATGGTGGTGGGCGCCTGTAGTCTCATTTACTTGGGAGGCTGAGGCAGGAGAATGGTGGGAACCTGGGAGGCGGAGCTTGCAGTGAGCCAAGATCGCCACTGCACTCCAGCCTGGGCAACTGAGTGAGACTGTCAAAAAAAAAAGAAGAAGAAGAAAGGGAAGGGGAGGGGAGGGAGAAAATATTCTAAAATAATAAAATGACTTGGGGAATTACTGTAACTTTTTTTTTTTTTTTTT